CTTGATAGCGGACTATCCATGGCAATAGCCAGCTCTAGATGCAAGACAGATCTTTTTCTTTTCTTTTTTCAAATCGTCTGTCAATGAAAAATGATTGAGTTTCCTTTGTCCCCTCTCGCCCCGCTTCGCCAATGTCTGCGTTTTTGAGGCACTGCAAAGCAAGTATTTTTAGCCAGCTCATGGTGCTGCTGTTCTGTAGCTAGGGTCTGTCGGTGTTCATTCAGCAAAGGTTATTTGCACATGTTTCGCAATGAAGTTTGGTGCCAGTTGTCACGCTGTGGTTTTAGCGTTGAACACATGGCAAAAAATGCTAGTCATAGAAGTGTTAATGGATGAATTTGCAGCGTATCCACAGTCCTGTCATCTGAACTTATAGCCGACATGTTCTTTTCATAGTTAGATCTCTCTTCAAAGTGGAAAGAGGCTCTCTTCAAAGAGGCTCTCTGAAAATTAGAGCGTTTGATTCTAATTTTAACGACTGATATTTTATCTTATTGAAGCCCGGCTTTGTGGAAAAGTCGACCAGTACATTGTCATAATTTCGTTTTGTGCTTTGTTTCGGGCCATTGCTGAAGACAAGCTTTTTCCGAAGCTGGAATTTTTTGCCAAAGGCTATGGAAAATCAAACGAACCCCGACGAGGATACGTTTTCTCTTTCATTTTAATTGTGTTGGTCATCGCAATAGGCAAGTTTTGTCTTATTCGGCTTTGTATCGTTAATTATCCGTTGCGCTATAGGCCGTGTCAACGACATCTCACCAATCATAACGAATTTTTTCATGGCCTCCTATGCGTTGATAAACTACGCCTGTTTCGAAGCATCGTTTGCCAGGTCCCCCGGATTTCGTCCGGCATTCAAATACTACAACATGTGGCTTTCCATGCTGGGAGCGGTTATGTGCGTCGTGCTAATGTTCACCATAAATCCGTGGACTGCACTTCTGACCATTTCGTTTATCTTCTTGCTTCATAGTTATATCTCCCATCGCAAGACAGGTGCCTATAAATCAGAATTTTTTTAATATTACTTAGGTTTTTTTATATAGCCGCTTTTTCTAGACACAAACTGGGGCTCTAGCTCGCAGGCGGTTTCCTATCGCAGTGCTTTGCAGAAGATGTTCAGCTTGCAGCTGACCCCTGCACATGTGAAAAACTATCGACCTCAGGTACTGGTGATGACCGGAAATCCGACGGCTCGTCCTGGACTGGTGAACTTCGTTTCTAGCATTACGAAAAAGAATAGTCTAATGCTGTGCGGTCACGTAATTAAGGTACGTTTCAGTCATAAGTTGCTGGTTCTTGTGCTCCGTCATAATCAGTTGAGGGCGTTAGACATTAGCTTATGTGAATTTTCTTTGATTCTGGATTCGTAATTTACCAGTTTCTGATGAATGGTTAGGACACCCAAACATATAACAGACGACGGATATATTTATAAGTAAATATAAAAGTTTATTCAGTTCTGATGATGTCATCGATGATGGAAATGCAACGCGTAGACTGATAGGAAAACATTTTCATCTCTGCTTCAAGTCTGAGTTTAATAGAAATGCATAAGTAAAACAGCCATTGGAGTTGCGCAAAGTTTTATGCTGTGCTTTATAAGTTATAGGTATATTTATTGTTGGAATGTCATTTTCCAATACATATCAGAGTTGCAAATCTTTTCATATTTTCTCAATGCAAATGGCCCTGAGCATGACACATGATAATCCTCTATTTCGTTTCGATGCTTCGGTTTCCGACTCAAAAGGCATTGTCAGGAAATTTTTTCACAACACAAGGATGCGGTATACAATTCTATAGAAAGGTTTCTGTACAAAGTGAACGAAGGGTAAAAGACGAACAAGCAAGTGTACAACAGAACTTGAAGGAACCTAGCAAAGATGATAAACTAGACATTTTTGTGCTTGGCTACCGATTCAACAATGTTGCTGCATCTGGTTCGATTTCAGACGTCGTGGTTGGTCACGAGAATGAATGACTACAAGGTCTTAAAGATTAAACCATCTTGAACGTCAGCCTGGTTATTTGCAGGGACATTCATAAACCTCGTCCAAACCTGACGATTACAGGGTCAAGGAAAAACCTGAAGAACAACAACATGTGCTATATGTGCTGATACAGGGACAAGACGATTGTGATGCCGAGAGAGAAATATTAAACAAAAATTCTGGAACACTTCAGTTATAGTGACGCTTACACCCAACTCAGAAGTAATACCACCCTTGACTAGCCAACCCGCCAACCGCTGCAGGTGACTCTGAGCAATTTGCAGGAAAAGAAAAACACCACCAATGATTGCATACAGAAGATACTGTCCGGTATCGATGCTTAAGTCATCTTTAGGCCGTAAAACTGCACAAGCGTGACAAACCGCTTCCGATCGTAATATTGACCAGGGGAACGACAACATATCTCATCGCCAAAGAGCTAGATCTGTCACTGAAAACAGCCGCTAGAAGCATGGCTCACAGAGTGAAATAGAGATAGGAGTTTCAATCCAGACTGGAAGAACGTAACCATCAAGAACGCTTCGTGGCATACCTGGACGACACTGCTTTTTTTAACGGTGTGAACACTAACACGGTAGCAGCTGTTTTTCCCGGCATCCTGAAGAATATGTCAAATGAGTGGAAGATGTAATGAGGTATGTTGAGGAATTGTAGCATTAAGGAACTGATATCAAACTTTATCCATTGATTCGTGAATGGCACCAGCTTCAATATCGGTAATAAAGTTTACGTGTTCAAACGTATGATGTTCCTCTGAGTTCTCCAGCAAGTGCTGTCCTAATTGATCACTATTTGGATCACTTCGAGTTAAAGGCCATTAATAAACACCCTCCGGAATTCCGACCACTATTATATATCGCTGATGACATTTTTGTGTTACTTTAACGAGAGGAAAATAAGGCGAAACGGTTGGAAACTTCGTGCATTGTATGAATGAACGGGGTCTGAATAGCTGAATACGGTTCACTATGAAAACTGAGGAGAACCAAAAAATAGTTTGGTGATGAGGATGCCTTTGCATGAACTTATGGCATCTGTTCATCGGAAATCTATTCATTCAATTCCATGCCTACACACTTCATCATGTGCTTCTGCCGGTGTGTTAAGGAACACTGTGAAGAATATGCGTTTGCGTGCACAGGAAATTTGTAGCCTTAATTCCGTCCTGAACATGGAAATCCAATATCCATACCAAACGTTAGTGAAAAACGGTTATTCGAGAAAGACACCTGACGAAGAATGTTTGCATCTCAGCAGGACCTAAGAATGCCATGCCGAAGTAGACCAGACGTAATTCTACCGTTTATACTCATAAAGTCCCAACACACCAAGTGATGCGTAAACAATATTGAATTTAGAGTCTACAAGAAGTGCGTGCCTACCACTACTTCCACTCAGGAGAATGTGTCAATTGTTTTCATAGAATTCAGTGCAGAGACCATGATGACGTGTACATTGGAAAGACCTGTCAAAAATTGAATATGCGAATCATGAAGCATTTGTCTTCGGTCCGCCGTAGACAAGAGGACAGTTTCAGTATTGTCCAGCATGCCATTTCCTGACGGAACTCTCATTTCGACTAATGTGTCGATTATAGACAAGATCAATCTAAATTAGGTCTTCCGAAAATGTCTCTGCATATAATGGCGCTTGACTACGGGATGTGCAGCGAATAGATGTTCCTCTATAGATCAGCTAAAGCTGTCGTGCAGTCATGGACTTGGTACGAAGAGTAGGTTCGATATGATTGGAATCTGATGATGCTCAGATCTCGGATGTGAATACAACATCGCATTGACTGTTCTCATTTTCACCAACGTCGACCACTGTTTTGCTTGTCAGATATGTCATTCAGGTGAATATACACATTTCCGAGCAATGATTGTCTCTGACTCTGATAATGCTTAGGTGTTTTTAGTGAAACACGTCGGCTCATACATATATACATATATACATACATACATACATAAATACATACACATATATACATAGTTTATTTTCCATTGAACCATGAATCGTTCAACCAGCTCTCGAAGCAACTGTTGGCCCAGAATCGAACACCAGAAAAGATATTCAGGATGAACTAGGTTATGAAACTAGAAAGGTCAGAGAAGTTGTGACAATTAATTAGGGATGTTTTATTTTCCATTATTGTTATGGATTAAAGATTCCAAACACGAACAGATATCACTTTAGTTGTTGCAAATCCTTCGCTTGTTAGGTGAAATATGTTGAGATTTGTTAACAAGTGAGCCGAACACATCCTTTCACCGTTAAGGATGCTGATTTTTTTTTCATGAAAGATATGTTTGCCATTTTAAAGAATGGCCCATCAACCTGGAATGCTCTGGATGGTTCCTCCTAGCAGCATCGTGGTGTAATTTCATTCTCAAGTTGAGGTTCCTGTATGACTTCACAGTTGTAAAAGCATCCCCTCATTAGTTTGTACGACTTCCTTAATTGATCCAGTTTCATCCTGTTCGCCAAGTTCATTTTTAACCACGGCTGTCTCGTACTTTTTCTATAGTTTACTATTGAATTGTACACTGTAACCTTGTGTGGAGAAAAGTTTCGCTGATCATGGCTTCTTTGCTGAAAGCCAAAGCGGATGAATGAAATAAGGGCGTATCTTATCCAGTCTGAAGCCAATTGCATTGAGAAAAAACGAGGGGAATTATGTCCATATGTTTACATATGTTTTGAGGCTTCATTGGTTTTATTAAGTTACGTTTCTTTTACATTGAGTTAGGATGAATGGCGTTATTGCTATATGTTTTTGGCATAAGCAGTACCAGGGGTTATCCGTGGCAATGCTGAGTGATTCGCAATAACGAACGGTCTGTTGAGTCACGGAATAGCGAGTTAGACTAAAAGTATCATTCCAGAACAAGACTTATATTGAGTTAGACGATCAGCTTTTAATTATCAGTGACCAAAGATAAGCGTAATTGTGCGACAAGCCTAGATCTTTTCAAAATTCTCTGCGTATGGCATTCAAGAGCAGTTTCCTATTTAACGTATGTCTAAATATGATTTATTCAAATTTTTCTAGGTCACCAAATATGCAACCTAGTGGCAGTCAATAATATGTGAATTGAATTAACATGATCAGATATGAAAGTTCTTCACATTGACAGTAAGCACAACGTGTAAAGTGTTTTATTTACGTCTTGCCAAGATTGTTGCGGTACAAATCGTTTTCGTCTCTTAACAGATTCACAGTTACAAGTGACAGGAAAGCATGGATTCATCCACCATTGCAGCCTCTTAATCCGTTTTGGGCCACTGCTTTGGGCTTTGGGAGGTTTCTCTGCCATTTTGGCACGTTCCTCAGTTTTATTCTCAGGCATAAGCTGTCATGCAGTGTGAAATGGTTTTGCATACAAGCAAAGATATGCATGCCTTTTGTGTCATTCCTTTTACATGCCGTTTAAGTTTACCCAAACTGGTGCAAGTCTCATCTTTTAGTTCGAAAAAGAAATCATAAGTGAGGGTATTTCGAATAGCAGAGTTTGAAACCTTCTTCAGCCGTATGTAACAACTAGCTGAGCGGACCTGCTGCAGTGAAATTCCATACTGTCACAGTTGCTCGACGACTAGTTGTTATTTGTTATCGCTCTCCGGCAAACAAATTTTGTGCTAAACATTATGTACACTTGAGTATCAGATTGTACGAATAATTTAGCTAATTTATCGGTTCATATTGACAACCTGCACTTTAAACTCTTCAATTCTATCGTCCTCGGGCAATGTTACGTGGCTGTGAGAAGAAGTTACTCGCTAAAGCCAAAGAGCACCAGTTATGTGTCACGTTCTCACCTCGCGATTACTCCCCAACACGATGATTGTGGCCAAACAGCGAAAAGGAATGAGTCGAAAGTAGAAGGGCAAGTGGCTCGGCTCAGTGATGGATGAAATTCGGTCATGATCGCCAAATGGCACTCTTGCTGGCAGACTAGGTCGCATGGTCGCTTACCACGGCGTTGAAGGGTGATACCGGAAGCCGGGAGGTTGCACTTCGAGATAGCAGGGTCGAAACCGCCAGGAATGGCGCGGGGAGGGTTAACCGTCACGTCGCAGTAATCCAAGTGATATTGGTATTCAGAATAGCTTGCCAGACTCCTGCTACTCGTTACGTGTTAATAAACAATTATGTGCCTGTCAGTAGTATCGGTATAGGAGATGTGAAGTCGAGAAGGTTGCTGTTTGCAGACGACCTTGTTTTATTAGCATCTT